TATTCTATTAATATTTAATTTTAAATGTTTATTGGCTTTTAAAATTATTTATTATTACATAATTCTTGTTTACATTTTTTTATTTGTCTAAATCTTTGCTCATTGCCAAAGTCCTTCTTTCTAATTCTCTATTTTTCAGTAATTGTTTCAGATCATTATTAGTATTTTCATATTTCTCTGAATTATCTTCTATAGTAATAATTTGTTACTTAATCATTTCTTCATCTTTACTACTTGAATTTTCTTCTTCAAATCCAAGTCCTTTTTTAATTCTCTTCTAAAAATATTATTAGCAATAATTTATATTACTTTGAAGACTTTTAAACTCATCTTATTTTTTTCTACTTTGCTTTTAATTAACATTTTATTTATTGAAATATTTTCATTATTCAGATCAAAAACTATTTAACATACTGCAATAATGAATGTTACTTGTTCGTTGGAGGCATCTCCCTTTGGCTAGACTTTTTCGAGAATACAGGCCATTATGCTTTGTGTCTCTCCTCTTGAACATTTGTGAAGGTTTTCAAAACATTTAATAATCTTTCAAGATTGTTTTCAAGCCAAAATTTCAGCGACAGATGTATTCATATTTATTGTATCCAAAAATTCTTTTCCAAAAACTGAAAATATGACATCACGAATTTTTGAAGCCATAATTCCATGAGCTTTTAAAGCAATAAAGTATTAAATAACTAAAGAACTAAAGTTATTAATATTTAAAAGAATTACCATTTGAGGAATATCTTTTTTATAATATATTTTCTAACATTTTCTTGTGACACCTTCATAAAACTCTGAATGTTCTTGCTAAAAAAATTTCTTGGTTGTTTGGTAAAAATCTTCTGGGTCTGGGTATATTTTTTCAAAAAATACTTATTTCACGATACTTTTAATTACGTACTACAGTGCAATTCACTTAATCACCACAATTACTGTGCCACTGGCCAAATTTTAACCCAGTGGCTTAGCTGATAAATTTTATGTCACATGCATCTTTTATATAAATGTTAGCTCAAAGTCAAATAATATCTTTTACATCAATTTTAATTACTGGCTGCTTCTATAGGATCAGAAACACTCTCATATCCTTCCTTATCAATTTCGTTTCTATTAATGATATGTTATGTATAATACAACATAATAAGAAATTCCAAAAAGATATGTTGTATTAATTATAAACTGAAATCAAATTCTGTTAATTTTTACTATCGTCGTACAAAATTCTAGACCAAAGATCAATCATTATCTCTAAAAGCACAAACATAACCATCATTACCATAAATATAAAAGAATTTTATTGAATTTTAATAAGTATTTATTTGTGATATTCACTAATATTATATTTATCTGACTTGATCTCAATATCATCTAATATGGTAGTTGGAACGCGATGATGAGAATGGTATTTTTTAACAGCATACTCTGCTACTTTTCCAGTTAAGCCATTTCTATAAGCACTCATATACATTGTGATTTCCTCGCAAATCTACGAATAGTACTAATATCAACACTATTTAAAGCCTCCAGAATTCTCTTCAAAAGACCTTTCCAGGTATAATCACATCTCTCTCGTATATACCTTTTATATGCCCCCCAATACATTTCTATATAGTTTAATTCATAATGATATTTTGAATAAAATAATATCTTATGTCTGGCAGCTTTAATTATTTTTTGAATCCACGGTTTCTGGATTAAAAAATCAGGTTGTTGACTCATGATTTGTTGTGCACAACAATTTAAATGATTTTTATCATCAATGCCATTCTTGCAATCTTTACAATCAAGCGAAAGACCTTTTTTCCATAATTTACGTTCCTTCAAGACCATTTTGATTTCTTTTGGTCTGCCATCTGGAAGTGTCATCGTTTGGGGCTGTTTATTGAATATAGTATCCTAATTTTATAGCTTCCACCTGGTTTTAAATTCATAACACTTGCTCATAAGGCATCTTCAGCATATCTATTATAGCTTGTTGCATTATCAAAGTAAGCTACCATTATGCATTCAGGATGAGTAGCCTCAAATAGAGGAATAAGTTTTTCTTTTACTTGTTTTACTAACTTTTCCATGTTCCACTATCCCTTATTACTAGTACCGGGAACTAGATCTTTTCTTGCAGTTTTTGGTAAATGTGGGTATTGTTTTTGTTCTTCAGGTGTTAGTTGCAATTGCCCAATCATTTCTGTCAAGAAGTGACTTACATGATATCCTTTGCCTTGTTCTTTTTTTCGAAGTGGCTGCTTTCTATCTTCAACTCATTGAAACTTGGAAGCATCATATGCATGAAATACTGATTCATCGTGGGTTACTAATATATAAAGTTTTTTTCCGGGTAAAAGTTCTGGATCTTTTCGACTTTCAAGATTATTACTCTCAAATGTTGACATTAACTGTTCCAAACTTTCTAATTTTTTCTATATATAATAACATCAGGATGCTCATGTTCATCAACATAAACACCTTTTTGACATTGCTTTCAGGACCATGCATAATTATGCAAAAATCTATTTACGGTACTTTTGCTTATTTTATTTTCAATATCACAACCAAGAGAAGGTAACACAGTTGTATTAATGTAATAATGAAGTTTTTTTATTGTAAGATATTCATTTTTCGGTAATGTATAGATATAACTTAGAATTTGTAAAGTTACATCCTCATTACTAAGAAGTTTTCAAATTTTTGGATGCTTGCCACGTTTTGATACAGGAATATTTTTATTACAAATCCATTGAGTTGCCCATAATCGAATAAGCCTTGCCAACCAAGATTTCTATCCCAAGCCTTGTTGTACAATTTCACTTGCTTTAGTTGGCTAGTAACCATTAATAAGGTATTATATATACTGCTGAACAGTCTCAATTCATGCCTTTGTGCTTTTTTCTAAATCCTTTTTATTTGCAGCATTTGCTAATGATATTTGTATTTCAGACCAATTGGGTTTTTTTTCATATTTGGCATCATCCATTTGTTTACTTTTATCTTCAGCCATATTTTTAGCAGTTTTCCAAAGTATAGCATTTTTTCATTGTATAGTTTGTGCTGAGTTACCCAAGTATCGTTGTGGACGATTAGAGACATGTACATCTAAGTTCTCAATGTTTGTTTGATGCATAACATCTTCAGGATTATCATTATCATTATGTGGTTCCTGAGAAGTTGAGTCCAATATAGATAAATCATTGGGTTTCCAACATTTGAAAATTACTTGTCAAGCTTGTAACTGACGTTTTGAATATGGCATTGTTATTAACAATAGAATTTATATACATTTTACAAATTAACAGATATGCGATTAATTATATACTTTTTGATTTTAACTTTACAAAAGTTATTTCAACTAATTTTTCGAGAGTATATATCAGCTGCATTTTTTTATAAAGATAAAAGGTGTTCGTAGTGATAGATAATTAATAGGATTTAGGTTTGTATTACAGTAAATTTAAGAAATTTATTTATTTAAGGTTAAGTTCGTGTGTTGTAAATAGGGTAAATTAAGGTTATAATAGTATATCATCAAGTTATGAGAATCAATAAAAAATTTATATGTATCATTACTTTTATTACTATCTATATGTATATACAGTATATCATTACTTTTTATTACTATCTATACATATTATTACTTTTTTATTATGTACGTTGTAACAGTGATCAGTAAGTCTGTCGTTAAGGAAAGTTCAGATTCGCATAACGATGGTAAGTATTTTATTTATAGTGAGGTGAAATTGATGTTGGTCGAGAATCTTTTCTAACTGGACTGATTTCTTTTTGTTCCTTTATTCAATTTCTTCTTTCTTTTATACATTCTTGCACAATTATTACATAATAAAAATGATAAATACAAATCAAGTAAAAATATAAGAAATCTCATAACAAAGTGATTTGATTTTCACACTACTCTATTATATAATTTTATTAATCGCTCCATAGTGCCATAATTGATCCTGGCACGACCTGGTCACGTGGCAATTGTTGCGATTGTATCGTAATCTGAACAGTTCTCATTTCTTCAGGTTCATGTTAGTTTTCTACCTCACTCATTGTGCTCAATACTATTGATTTCCGCACAATATCGTGTGAATCCAGAATTCAGTGTGAGACGCGTTACCTTTTCCTGTGTTACAGCATATTATATAAAATTTGAACCAATCATAATATCTCCATTGTCATGTGATATTTAAAAATGGCGGCCA